GTACCCTTGAAGAATCGTCTTAGTGGAACAAATTCCTTGGTGCAACTTCCCTGGTCTTTCTTCGGTTTTCTGAAAAACTTTTCAGTATAATCTCCTATGGTCATCCTATGTCCTTCAAGAAAATCTATTAAGATTACTCTTTTTGGATCCCCCCAAATAGTCTTCATAACCTTCGGAGATGACCTCCATGCCTTGAATTTAATTGGCCTAGAAGATCAGCTTGGAAGTCACTGGTTCGATTGTTCCTTTTCCTTTGACGACACCTTCATGAGATGAAGACAAGTACTGAGAGCGCTTACTTATAGTCATCCACAGATCACAGACACATACTGTAAATGTATTTTATTTAGAATAAACTTTTATATGTTTAAACTGGAACCCTAATCAACTGAAACCTCATCTTTTTCCCACAGAGCTACTGGTGGATTTGAAATGTAGACCTTGTGGTTAGCAGTCAAATATTGAACCCTAATAGCAATATTTTTTTACTTACCCTCCTATAGTGTGGACAGGCACGTTAGCCTAGAGAATTCTCTCCCTACCCCACTTCTATACTGCCAAATTTTATACCTCTTGGCAATCCAATATCTAATAGTCTTTGAGGAATTGTTCTTGATACAGATAACAGATTAAGTCATTTATCATGTCAGGTAATGAAATGTAAGGTTTATTGGTCCTTCCTTAAATGCAAATTATTGCTAAAGTGACAAGAGAATCAGAGGCAGTGGGGGGGGAGGGGGAGGCAAGTTTCCTGTTCCACAGATGTCTTTGGGCTCTCAGTGGTATTAAGTTAAGAAGGATGAGAATCTGTATGTAATTTATCAGTTTACTATTTCTGTTGCTGATGTATTGGTAATGGAAATTTCCAGCACTTAAACAGGAATGTAACTGCTTCAATGTCCTCATCTGTATTTAATGGTCATAACTAAAGTAACATTGGGAAATATTATAGTATATTAATTTCCTTAATTAAAGTTTCTATCTTATTTTAATTAGGCATAATCATAACAAATGGATTGTAATGTCTGGAATATCAAAGAGATGCTTACTATTCCCTCAGGCTCTGGGTAAGTTTCCTGATTATATTCTCTGAGGTTTGAGGGAGTGTTATGGTTGGTTGCATAGATTTCATGGAATGGAATTTCTTCCTGTTATATTACAGTAATGGAATTATTCTGTACAGTCTTACCTCTCTTTCCCCCTATTGTGTGACCATCACACACCCTCTCATGATTGTCTTTCTCCTTCCAGCAGTTTTCTGATGACAAAATCCAGCCATGTGTGTTAATAGATCAATGACTCTGGGTCTAACTCTGGGCCTGAGGACTATGAGACCTGTAAGAAATCAGAATTGTTCCAACATCTGGAAAATGTCACCCGAGTTGAGATGTCTGCTAGCTATTAAAACAGCAGAGGTCAAAATCAAGACAACATTCAGATATGTGTTCACTTGTATAGTATAGTTTGTAGGCTTGGTGGATGGAGTTCAGAGATACTCCAGCTGCTTGCCAGACTCATTGGGACACTATTCTCTATCCATGTGTGCTGACATTGGGATCTGCCAGCCTGCCACTGCTGTCTGGGGATTTATGTGCCTCATAAATATTGTACAACTCATAAATATTTGCCTCAGAAATATTGTACAACTAAGGAATTTTTTATTGCTCTTGATATGCTTTTATCATTGAATGATTTATGTCCTACAAAAATACCTACCTGAAGACGATTATTAATTCATCAAAAACCTAGAACACTATATTATTAAAAAAGAAAAGTATTTACAGGTGATACAAAGTAAGGGAAATCTATTTTTTAAATTCCAGATCATAATTTTAAGATGAAAATCCAACATGATTCCAGTAGGCTACAGAA